GATAACCTTTAAATTTGGATGGAATAAAAAAATTCCCTGAATGACCCAAACAACCTTAAGCAAAAAGAACAAAGCAGGTGGCCTTGCACTATATGACTACAAAATATACTACAAAGCTATAGTAATCAGAATATGAAAGAGACACATAGCCCCGAGGAACTGAGAGCCTAGATTTCAATCCATACGTCAATAACAAGCTGATTTTTTTTTTTACGAAGTTGATAAGAACACACACTGGAGAAAGTACCGTATTTATAATAGATAGTGGTGTGAACATTTGGTATCTACATGTAGAAGAATGAAAGTAGATCCCTTATTTCTCATTTGTTACAATAATCAAGTCAAAAAGGATTAAAGAAAAGCACAAGACCTGAAAGTATGAGACTTCTGGAAGAAAGCATACAGAAAATACTTCATGACATTGACATTGGCTAGGATATTTTTGGACAAAAACACAGGAAGTAAAACAAAAAAGTCCAATGAAATCAGACTAAAAAGTTTCAGGAAAGCAAAGAAACAATCACCAGAGTGAAGAAACAGCGTACATAATGAGAGAAAATATTTACAGACTATGCATCTGACAAGGGTTAATAACCAGTATATGTAAGGAAATCAAAAAACCTAACACAAACAAAACAGCAGCAAGAACAACTAGAAAGAGGAAAACCTCAATCAGATTTTAGAAAGGGGCAGCAGGTTTAGAAAAACATTTCTCAAAAGAAGACATAGAATTAATTGTCTAACACATATGTGATAAAATACTTAATATTACTAAACTGCAGAGACATGCAGACCAAAGCCACAATGGGATTATGGCCTCACTCCAGTAAGGATGGGTCTGACCAAAAAGACAACAGATGGCAAGCACTGGAGAGGACTTAGAGGAAAAGGAACACTTGCCTATTGTTGACCAAAAGTAAAGTAATACCACTATTATGGAAATCAGTAGGAAAGTTTCTAAAAGAATTAAAAAAAATATCACTATTTGATCCAGCAATTCCACTCCTGGATATCTGAAGGAAATGAAGTCATTATGTTGAGGAGACATCTGTACCCTCATGTTTACTGCAATATTAATCACCATTGTGAGGAAATAGAAACTGATGAATCCCTAAAGAAAATGTAGCGTATATACAGCATGGAATACTTGTCAGCCATATGAAAGAATGAAATCTGATCATTTGCAGCAGCATTGATAGAACTGGAAATCTTATGTGAAGAGAAATGTCACATATGGAAAAACAGACTACACAATCTCACTCACATACAGAATATAAAGAAGTTGATCTTGGATATTGTTTAATTTCTCCTTTAATTTCATCTGTGACCCATTGGTTGTCCAGGAGGGTGTTATTTAATTTCCATGTGTTTATGGAGCATTGGCAGTTTCTTTTGTCATTAATTTCTAATTTCACTGTATTATGGTCAGATAATATACATGGGATAATTTCAGTTCTTTTGCATTTACCTGAGCATGTTCTATGGGTTAGTATGTGGTCTATTTTAGAGAACGTCCCATGTGCAGCTGAGAAGAATGTGTATTCTGATGTTGTTGGGTGGAAGACTCTGTCAATGCCTACTAACTCCATTTGTTCACAAGTTTGGTTCAGTTCTGTTATTTCTTTGCTGATTTTTTGTTTAATTGATCTATTTCTCTGTGACAATGGGGTGAAACTGAAAGAGTAAATAAGATCCAAATGGTACAATAGATACATTGCAAGGGAAAGAAACTGTTCAAAAGTTAAGAACAACTGGGATGGGAGAAAAGAAGAAAAAAGAGAAAAAAAGATGTGCATATATACACAAGATAGCTAAGATAATTGTGCTACTAATTTCTATTAGTGCATTGAAAGGAACAGTTAGTGCTTATATTATTTGATCAATTTTTCATGCCTGTATCTGATGATCTGAATCACTACTTTGAAAATAACAATATACAATATAATAAACCATTGTTAATTTCCTTTTGTCTTGTTTTGAATTTCTGTATTGTTTTTATTGCTTTATTTCTCTCTTTAAAATAAAAAAGAAATTGATCTCATTGAAATTGAGAGTATAGTGGTGGCTACCAGAGGCTGGTAGTGGGGGTAGGCAGGAGGGAAGGATGAAGAAAGTCTGATTATCAGGTAGGAGTAAGAAAATCTGGTATGCCATTTCACAGCGGCATCTACTGACTACTGATATAACTGTTTACTGAGCACTGTGTAACTCAAGAAGCTGGAAGAAAGGATGTGGAATGAATTCACCATAAAAAATTGCTAAAGGTTTGAGGATTTGGGTATGTTTAACTTGATTACACAATGGGTATATTAAAACATCACATTAATGTATTAATATTCACACTTTTTGTATTTTTACATATCAGTTTAAAGGTAATTTAATTTTAAAAAGACAACTAAAAATAAAACAAGCATCTAAAACAAACTTGTTAGGGATTCTGGTGCTCTCAGTTTTGCATTCATCACCCAGAGCTGCCTTTGCTATTTTATGTCTATTCTGGTTCCAAATGAATTTTAGGATTCTTTTTTCTAATTCTGTGGGATATGATTTTGGCATTTTGATCGTGTTGGCATTAAATCTCTATAACTGTTTTGGTTATGCCCATTTTCTCAAAATTGGTTCTTTTTTAAAATTTGTTTTAAAAATAAAAGATGGAAAACATTAACAAACAGACATCCATTTACAAAATAGCATAAGAAAATACAAGCAATACAGAGTTACAGACAAAGTGGTAGGAAATTCACAATGGTTGTTGTATTATGTATTGATATCTTCAAAGTGGTTTCTCAGAAAAACAAATAGAGACATACAATATTGATCACACAAGTAATCATTAACTGTTCCTTTCAGTAAAGGGATAGAAGTCAGTAGTACAACTATGTTAGCTATCCTGTATATACATACATACATGATTTTTCCTTCTTTTTTTGTCTATTGCCTCACCGCAGTTACTGTTTATTTTTGAGCATTTTCCTTTCATTTCAGAACGACTGTCATACATCCTAATTTTTATTCACTCTTTCAGATTCTTACACTAGTGAGACAATAATTCATTACATGTGGAGGTCTGGCTTATTTCACTTATGAGTATAATCTCTAGTTGTGACCATTTACCTATAAAAGCCTCAAGTTTATTTCTTTATAGCTGAGTAATATTCCATTATATAAAAATACCACAAATTTTTTATCCATTCCTCAGTGGCTGGACATTTGGGTTGCTTCCACAATTTAGCAATTACAAATTGCGCTGCTATGAACATGGATGCACATATATCGCTGAGATATGATGTTTCCAGATCTTCTGGGAAAATAACCAAAGGGCAATAGCTGGGTTGAATGGGACATGTAGACCTAGTTTGCTGAGGAATCTCCAAACTGATTTCCACAGTGGTTTCACCAGTCTGCATTCCCACCAGCGGTGGAGAAGAATTCCTATTTCTCCACAGCCTTGCCAGAATTTGTTATTGGTCAAAATTTATTCTTCCTACCCAAGAGCAAGGGATATCTTTCAATTTTCTGATATTTGTTTCAATTTCTTTTTTTAGAGTACTGTAGTTTTCAATGTAGAGGTCTTTTACATCCTTCATTAAATTGAATCCTGGGTGTTTCATTTTTTTGGGTGCTATTATGGAAGGTGTTGTTTCCTTAATTTCTTTCTCAGTGTTTTTTACTTGTGTACAGGAATGCTATTGATTTTTGAGTGTTGACTTTGTATCCAGCTATGCTACTGAATTTGCTTATCAAATCCAGCAATTTTTTAGTGGAGTTTTAGGGTCTTCTATGTAGAGTGTCATGCATCTGCAAAGAATGATAGTTTAACTCCTTCCTTTCCTATCATTATTCCGTTTATTTCTTTCTCTTGTCTAATTGTTAGATAATTGGCTAATATTTGGAGAACTATATTGAATAAGAATTGTGACAATGGACATCCTTGTTTTGCTCCTGATTTTAGAGAGAAAGCTTTCAGTTTTTGTCCATTTAGTATGGTGTTGGTTTTTGGTTTGTCAAAGATGGCTTTTATGATATAGAGATAAAAACCTACAATTTTCTGTACGGTTTTTATCATGAATGGGTGCTGGACTTTGTCAAAAACTTTTTCTACATCTATTGAGTTGATCATATGACTTTTTTTTGTGTTAATATGGTGTCTTACATTTATTGATTTATGTATGTTGAACCATCCCTGCATCCCTGGGGTAAATCCTACTTGTTATGGTGTATAATCTTCTTGATGATTTGCTGCATTCTGTTTTCCAGTGTCTTAATAAGGATTGTTGCATCTATGTTCACTAAGGAGATTGGCTTGTAGTTCTCTTTCTCATTTGAGTACTTTTATTGTTTTGATATCAGGGTAATACTTGATTCATGGAATGAACTTGGGAGTATTTCTTCCCTTTCAATTTCATTAAAGAGTTTGAGAAATAGTGGTGGCTATTATGAAGAAATCAGCCAATAACAAATGCTGGAGGGGCTGTGGGGATAAAGGAACACTTTTCCACTGTTGGTGGGAGTGTAAACTGGTGCAACCATGGTAGAAATCAGTGAGGATATTCCTCAGAAAAACCAGGATTGAAGGTCCCATTTGACCCAGCTATTCCTCTACTGGGTATCTTCCCAGAGGAATTAAAAACATTGTACCACAGCAATATAGGTGCACCAATGTTTATATCAGCACAATTTGTAATAGCTAAATCTTGGAAATAACTCAAATGCCCATTAACTGAGAAATGGATAAAAGTTTGTGTTCTTTTTATACAATAGAGTACTACTCAGCCATAAAGAATAAACTTGAGACTTTTATAGGTAAATGGATGCAACTTGAGACCATTTTATCCATTCTTCAGTTAATGGGTATTTGAGTTATTTCCAAGATTTAGCTATTACAAATCAAATTAAAGATTGTTTGGGAAAATGCACTTAAATGTCCAAATAAATGTGGTACAGTAAAATAATTCCTTATGAGGAGATAATTGTTTTAAGCTACATACCTAGTAACTTACCTTTGAAACCCAAAAATCCGGTTGTCAGAAGGAGAATGAAACATGAGCCAGCAAGAATCAACACTGTGAGGCACCAGGCTAAGGGAACTGAAGGCTCTGCAGCAAGAGACAAGGAGGCTGAGAGCACTGAATTACACAGCAGGGTTTAGGGAAGAAGGACCTGTAAGTCAACACCCTCCTCTTGGGCGTGTTCAAACTGGAAAGAGATAAGGACCAGTGTGAAGGAACGCTGACTTGAGAGGTAAATACCTGGCTCTGCTCACAGTTCTGTTGCCATGTATCTCTAGGGAGGGCACTTAGTTTATACCAGTGTAATCTCCTGGCCTTTCTCAATGTTTTCAGAGTACAAAGTAGAATACTGGATATACAGAAATGTATAAGCAAGCAACTTTTTCTAAACACTAATGTATACACTAATTTCAAAGACCAGTAAATGGGGATATTCTTTAATAGACACCTTATGCCTGTATACCTACATACAAATCACGATTTTCACAGTGGAGTTGCTCTGCTTTTCTTCATCATAAAGAATAGCCACTGTTATATGCAGAAAAAATGATAATCACACATGTGCATCAAACACTGCTAATCAAACACTGTTGATGGAATTTCACAGAATGAGTGTCCAATAATTGGAGCTTCACAACTGTTTCCAAACAAATGGAAAATTTTAGTTGTCCTACTTGACCAGTTATGGCTGCATATATAGAACATGAAACCTAACTACACCAATATTCTTTGTGATATATTAAATTTGGACATTTGGTTTTCAGTTTTTCCTTTTCATTTAGATATTTGGATGTAGTTCAGGCAATCTTATGAGATAGGGCACAAGCTAAGTTGTTATTTACAACAGTAGTTTCTGATTTATATTACTTTAATTGCATACACATAGGCTAAGAATGTAAAGGACGGAGAAGGTGAATAACCCTTACCTTTTTCTTCAGCTGATTCAGTTTGTATGTTTGTTTGGTTGGTGCATAAAGAATATTCCTCCACTTCTGAGTAAATTGGCTGCACTTTTGTGTCTGGAGATGTAAACAAAGATGAGGATGCTGTTTCATATTCGCTCTGTCTGGAAGCAGGCGGGCACAGATGAGTGTGAGGAGAGCTAGCACAGGATTTCTGTCTTTTTTGTTTTTTTGTTTTTGTTTTTTTCCACTGCCAGGAATCAAATTCACAACCTTGTGCTTGCCAGGCAGGCGCTCTGCCACTGAGCTAAATCCCCAGCCCCAGGATTTCTTTCAAATAAAGGAGACCTGTACAGATATTGTCTTGTTTCTCTAAATTCTATCATGGAAATCTTTTAGATCACAAAATCTTGGAAAGGAGATAGACATAACTCATATTCTAAATTTTCATGAAATTCTTTTAAAATTGGTTTCATAGAGAACAGAAAATAATCAGGATTCAGTAGGAGTTGAGGAGGAAAAATACTCACTATTCTTTTGCTTGTGCTTCTTGGAAGTAAGAGGTTTCTTCACCTGTGCATATGTCGGGCATTTTTCTTCCATCTCTGAGAAATTTGCATATAGGATCCTAAAAATATGTGAACTAATCGTTTTTAAATTAAGATTTTAGGTTCTGTCTTGTTTATCATTGAAATAGATATTTCAGTTCACTTACTGGTGATGTCTGAAATTTTACATTTTTCTCCTAAGGGAGATTTTTGCCTGAGATGTTTTTCCTAGTCTTAAAATTGTCAGCAACCTATATGTTTCTTTAGTTAAATTGGTGTTGTGATTTCAGCTACTACCTGGGGTTCTCTACATATGTTATTTACTTTAATTTTTCAAAGGCAAATTTTGTGATGTATGATGCATTTATATGTTCCTGAAAAATTGTTCATATACATAATAATACCAAGGATATATTTTTTGAGTCATTTATAAGGATAGAACATAGATTATTGAGAAATTATTTTAAAAATTTCCTTTATGTTCCTTGCAGATAATTTTTTCTAAATATTGTCATCCTTATAATTCTATTATTTTTGAAAAACTGAAATAATTTTCTTGCTTTACTTCTACAAAGTTCTTGCCACCTTTTCCAGTGTAGTGTCACAGATGTTACTTGGGACAGAAATTAAGTTGTAGTCCTATGTTATGCCTATAATAGTTTAGGAAAAATTCTTTCTAGAAATCCTTTTTGAAATAGTTATTTTACTTGAAAATTTCTGAAAAAGTTTGTTTCAGCATTTAGATAATACTTTTATAACAAAAGAAAATTCTGACTCCATAAAAATTCTGACTCCATAAAAATCTCAAAAACATTACCCTTCCCAGTTGCCTGTATACCATCAAATTTTCTATTTTTTATAAATCCTATTTTCTTCAGGAATTATAACCTAACAATATCTTTTATAAAATCCTTTAAAATGGTATCTATGTATCTGTATCTAAATTTATATATTTGTGGGTAAACACATATTTAATTATCCATGAAAAAACCTTCCATAAGAAAATATGATTGTACAGAAATATCTCAGTAATGTGGGAACTACATCAACAAATAGGCAAAGTATAAATATGGCTGTAAAACAGAGAAATAGGGTATTATAAAAATAATAAAAACATATAATTGATTAAATAAAAAAGTTAACTGCTCAAACTTTACCCTCATTGTTGTAAGAACAGTGAATTTGCTCTATTAACACACTTGGTCAATATAAGAGCTGTATTGGAAATGTTTGCTAAAAGAACTGTTATATTAATGATAAGTCATGAAATATTTCAAGGATATAAGTCATGATAAAGGAATATCTAAATCCGAATTGGACAACATTATTGTCTTCAAGACTCAATTTACTGAATTAAAAATCTCCATTCTTTGTGCTGTGTGCAATAATCACAGAGGGCCCTGCGTTCACATTGGTAATACGGTACCTGTGTCCGTTTATGGTTTCTACTGCCTCTGGGGTCTGGTCCAGGTGGAAGAGCTGAGCCCCAGTGCATGGGCTACAGATTCAGATGACTGATTTTTCCTGGTGTCCTGTCTGCTCCTGGCATCCAAGAGGCTTCAGTATTTTCCAGCTACAAGTGATGATGTGAGAAAGTGACTCATATTTGAGGCTCAAGCTTCACCCATTTGCATCTGCTGTTACTGAGAGATGTGTGGTTTTTCTTTTTTAAAACAGAGATGAATGGGAGAGATAATTTAAAAGTCCCTCCCCAATCTGAAGAGAATTCAAATCAACATTGATGAGGTATTTAAATCCATCCTTGAAACTAGTGTAATATTGCTAAGTCAAAACATGTGAGCACTATTTGACATCATTCCCTGCACTTATCTGCCTGGGATTTCAGTAAAAAAGTGTATAACATTTATCAGGTTGGACAGAACTTATTCCCTGTACTTATAAAGAAATTATAAGTTTGGCTTACAATGGTCAGCCACAGAGTTGGATGAGGAAGCGTGCAGAGGGTGTCTGCAGGCTGGAGACTGAAGAGGTCAGACCCAGGTCTGGAGCTCACTGCAGTGTCCGTGCAAGTCTGTGTCAGGAGGCTGATGGGTCTGCAACGGAATGTTGAAGAATCTATGATGAAGTCTGGAGAGCTTATACCAGAAGGCTGAAGAGTCCCAGGCAGAAGCCGAACAGTCTGCACCAGAAGCCAGGAGATGACCAAGTTGAAGACAAAGACCGGAGCTCCTCCAAAGAACCAGTAGCCAGTCCTTTTTCAATTCCCTTTTTTAATGCAGTCTACCCACTCTCCGGGGTTGGGGAGGTCCTTTAGCCCACAACTTCTGCATGCCTTCCTCTTGCACAGGCTCAGGATGAATACAAAGTAAGCACCCAGGCTCCCTGCTGAATCACACAGTTAACCTAAACTTCTCAAATTGACACCATGAACAACATCCCAGAAGGGTAAGGGCATGTCCTTCTCACCCCAAGATGTAGAGCTGTTAAGTCACTTAGCCAAATCTCTAGACTCCCCAAGTGGAGACAGTGTATCAACCATAACAGTACTGTTTTCTGCTTTCCATACAGTTTTTTTAGAAGGAAATCCCTAAGGGTAGCCAGCCCATCTTGGGTCAGTTTGTGCTTTATCTTCTGGAGAGAGAGTATTTCAAATTGTTTTATAAAGCAAATTTTCTTTTCTTGCTGTTTGTTTCATTATTCAGTTATTTATATTATTTTGCCTTTCAACAAACTGCTTACAGTTTTTTTATAATATTATGAGAGAAAATATATAGATGGTAGCATAAAATATTTTTTAGTTAGAAAAACTTAACCTTGACATAGTATATCAATGAAGAGGTGAACTAAATGTATGGTAATAAAATATCAAATTAGATGGTCAAATTTACTGCTTTTAAACTAAAAGAAATAACATTGACTTTTTACATAAATGTTTAGCAATTTTTATAGCATAATAAGGAGAAATTCCTCTCACACTCCTGATACCTTTTTAACAAAATCGAGAAATGTTTAAGATTTGAACTACCCTTTCTGGAGCATTGTACATTAAAATCAGCAACAAAGGTCTAAGCACAGTAATTTTGAAATATTTGCATTAGCTTTCATTGCTAAATAAATACTGGCTGCTTTAAAATGACACAGAGAGCAGATAGGTGAAAATTAATACCTAAAAGCATACTGAGATTTATTTGAAAGGAACTCTTATTTGAAAACTGCATTCTGTTTCAAAATTTTAAAGGGTTGAAGATTAAGTTGAATTCAGTTAACTATTTAAATGTGGTTATGATAACAAATGGTATGAGTCCTTCTGCCTAATAATTCCTCTTGTACTTTGAAAATCTAGGTATGGGAGCTAGTACAACTTTGATACAGTTAAATTTGTTTGTATATCGATGACACTGAGAGTCTGAGTCTATGATTTCTTCTTTTTCTTTCTGCAAATCTGTCACAGAGAAATTTGATTTCCATTCTTTGACTGTCTTGGTCTAACCAAAAAGTTTTACATAGCCGAACCTGGTCATTGGTGGGGAACTCTTAAGTGGACCTAGTGGGAAGCCATTACTGGAGGCACTGCTCCCCTCACTGGGGCTTTCTATCTGTGGTGTGGTCTCCTGCTCTTGTATGTGATCCCTCCACTGTGATGCCGAGAGCCGTGGTGTCCTCACTAGAGCTGAACTGATGCCAGCACTGTGCCCTTGAACTTCCAGAACTATGAGCTGAATAAACTTTTCTCCTTTATAAGTTACCTAGACTAAGAGATTTTGCTGTAGTAATCAGAACAGACCAATACAGAACAGCTGTGCTATGAATTGGCCCGTAATTCCTCTGCTCCCACTTGGTTTTTGTTTTGTTGTTGTTTTGGCTCATGGACACCTCCTAAGTCTTCAGGCCAATTAGTTTACAGAGCAGAATCCTATTTGCATAACACAATCATGATGGGTATGACAATCTGAGAATTTTTGATTATAGAAGAATCTTCATATAAAACCACAATTAGTTATAATGAGAATTTGAAGACAATGCAACTTAAAAGCAAACACGTGTTTGGCATGTTGTGCAGTGGTGAAGGAGAACATGGTATTAGGTTTTAAGAAAACACAAAAATTACCTCTGAAATTTATGTATAAGTTATTAAAGAATATCATAGCCCACTTAGGATGCTATCACAAAATACCTGAGGCTGCATAATAAACAACTGACCTTCTTTCTCTGTAAGGAATGGAAATATTCCTTCTTTCAGTTCAGGAGACTCTGGAGTCAGTGGTCAAGCTTGGCAGATTTTGGGTCCAGTGAAGTCCTATTCTTGACGTAGAGCCTTTTTGCTGTGGCCTCATATGACAGGGAAGAGAGAGAAAAATTCTGTGTCCTCATTTAGCAGAAGAAATCAAAAGAGCAAGAACCTGTACTGTGAAGGGATCAATCACATTCATGAGGGAAGGGCCCTCCCTATGGGCTAATCACCCCCCAATGGTCCCATCTCATACCCATCTTAGAGTTTAAATACCAACATATGAATTTTGGAGGAATGCATACATTCTTTAGGGAGACACTGTTCAAACAATATAAAGATTCAGTTAGGAGAAATACGTTCAAGATATGTATTATATAACCTGGTAACCAATTGATCACAATATATTATATTCTTAAAATTCGTAAGAAGAATAAATTTTATGTGTTTTGACAATTTTCTATGATAAGAATGTGAGATTACATGTTAGTTATTTCAGCTACTGTATGATGTGTTTACATATTTACAACATCATGTTATACACAATTAATATATAAAATTTTTGTTTTCAATGAAATGACATTCAATGTAATTTGCTCATCATGTGGATTGCTTCCTTTGCTATAGTATGAGACTTTAAGAGAAACATAGACTTAGCTTTCTAGGAGTGCATCGATTCATGCTTTGGAAGCAATAATCAGTCATTCATTAAGAATAGTTTTTAAAAGCTTGGATGACTAAAGCAATGAAAGATTGTCACAAGAAAGACTGTAAGAACAAAAATTTTATTTTTGTATATTCTTAACTATGAATCTAATATTTATTAGTAATTTTTTAAATGTTATAAAATGTCATTAGATGTCAAATTTATAATTAATTTCTTTAAACATTCCTGATGGATTTGTAGGAGAATTTGATCAGCTTCTCAGTGACTTAAGGGGAAATACTGAAAATTATGCCTCAATTTTCTTAACAATGACATCCAAAAAACCTAAAGATGAAAAGTTATTGCTGTTTCTAGGTTTTTAAAGTAAAGTATGCTGTTTGTAGAAAAATCAAACAACGATATTAGAATTTTAGTATGTGTGCTGCTGAAGCTGCCAGTAAAAACTGTATTAGAAAACATCTTCCTTCTTTTCTTTAAAATAAAAAAGCAAACAAAGAATATACAAAGTAATTATCATCTCGGAGGAAACCACTGCCATCACTTTAAATGTGTGCTTAATTTCCTTTCTATTCCCTTCTACTTTTGAATTACATGTTTGTTTACCTGGTAATTTACTAAATTAATTTACTTACATGAGCAATCTATATTTCATAAAGCATATTTTGTTCAAGTGATTATACAAGATGCACACTCAATAGAAAATTGGTAAATACCTCATTTATGTGGATACATATTTCTATGGTCTTTATATATACCACTACTATGACTTTTTGTTTGAGACAGTGTCTCATTATGTAGTTTATCCTGGCATCAAACTCATTGTGTAGCAAGGCTGGCTTCAAACTCACAGTGATCTTCCTGTCTCAGCCTCCTGAGTGATGGATTCAGGCATGTACCAGCATTACCAGGGAACATTCTTGAAGATAAATGTTTACTCACAACATTAATTCTTCCTCATGTTGAATAAGTTTGCTTATTTTAACTTCTGTCTGCTAGAATTTCTTTAAAAACATAATAAATACAGTAATACATATAATATGATATTTAACAACCAAGCAAATATTAACCATCTTTTTGTATACTCTGTAGTTTTACCTTCTTATGATCAATGTAAATAATCTTCCATACCCATGAATTAAATAAGCACATTTGTATAAATTGCTTCTTTTTGTTTTCTTCTTTACTGTCCTCTCTCTTCTTTTTTCTTCCTTTCTGTGGTATTATTAGTGCCCATTGCCATGTGACTTTACCACATAGAGCCTTCCTTCTACCTCACTGTTTAAAGAATTCTGTCTTTACAATACATCTACCCAGGTGGAGACTTGATTAATCATACCACAAGGTTACAGTCATTTCAGTACAATAAAGTCATTTCATCACATTACATATGTGTATGTCCATATATAATTAGTACTGTTTTACTGTTATAAGTGATATTCAAAAATAATGATCGATATCTTTGTGTCTTCTCACTTAGAATTATCTAAATCCAGCCCTATGGCAATATGCAATGAAATCAGATTTTTAAATTCCGAGCCAGAAATTAAGATAAAAATGAATTAAAATACAGTCAAAAAAATTCAATGAATTAGGATACTTTATTTTATTTTATTTTGAATTAGGATATTTTAAAATTAAGCCTCTGCACTCTTTATTCATGACTGTTCTGAGATCTTACAGTAAATATTATAGATATTTCATTCTTTTGAGTTCAATCAGCCTGGCCCTTTTTTCAGACATTAAAAGGAACGAAGTGATGTAGTTTTAGGGTTTCTTGTGAGACCAGTGATCAGAACTAGACATGGAAGGCTGGAAAGCTGCTTGAACCCGAGGCATCCTGTGTGGTTTCCACCAAACTGGCTGAAATACACATTAATTTCTATGAGGCTGTGGCCCCCATGAGAAAGTCTCATGTCTATTTTTGTTCCTGTACTGTATTTATGTCAATGCATGCAAATACTGAATTTTGTTGATGTAACCCATATAAATAACAAAAAATAGTGTTTTAGTGGTTAACCCAACTATACGTCTATGAATATAACTCATTTTGGCTTAAAAAAGCATTGTCACCAAGTGGCCTTAAGTCAAACTGTCAGTGTCTGTGTAGACTTTAATATTGATTTCTACACATAAGTGTCATTTCCTCGGCTGTCACTTAAGTCTCCCTTTGATTAACAAATTAGCTGTTAATTCCATTATTAGTCCTTT